TAGGAAATTTGGTATTTCCTTTGCTGATTTGGTATAGAGCCACTCTACTGTCAGTGTAGATAGTAATGTTGAGGTCCTTAGTTTCACTGTACTTACTGTTAATATACTTAATTGCCTTCAGGAGAGCCAATGACTCTGCCTGATTATTAGTACAGTAGTCAGCAAGCCTGAAATAGCTCTGGTGCATAGTTTTGCCATTGTTCGAGTATGCTACAAAGGATCCTCCAGTGCCCGAAGCAGAGTGTGAACCATCAGTATAAATTTTGATCCCCTTCCTATCATGAGGGAAGGTGTCCATATATATTTCATAGCTTTGGGTAGTGGCAGGGTGTGATAGCTTAGCAGTTGTTACATCCAGACCATTGTCCATCAGCAGGGTAGTCAAATTGTTAATGGTATCTCCTTCCATGAAGGGGGTGACATTATATTTGTAATTTTCTTCGCTTATACTCTTAGCGTTCAGCCTTTTCATGTTGTGCAGAATGAATCTCTCAGCAATAAGAAGGTCCAAAGGCATAAGGTTTGCTAACAGGAGAAGCCCATCGGTGGGGGCGGTCCTGTAGGCCCTGGTAATATAGATAGCCGCCAACCTCTGAATTGAAAGTAGCTTTCGCTGGATGTGAGTATTCACTACCCTACGGCCCCAAACCTCACAGCCGTACGAGACAATTTGTTGCGTGACGGCTATATAAATGGACCTTCTGGCACTAAAGTTGAGGCCCCATTTATTCCTGGCAATAGTGGCCAGTGCGTGGGAGATGACTGAGGCTTTATCATAGATTTTGTGAATGTGCTCCTTCCACAACAGTTTTTGGTCAATAATAAGACCGAGATATTTCACTGATGTTACATGCGGTAGCCTTTGACCCATAATGTGAACTGATGGTGGTTTTTGAAGTGGGTTTCCCTTGGGAAGGAGCATACAGTTACATTTGTTATGATTAATTTTAAGTTTAACCCTATTGCTCCAATCGCTGACTTGGGCCAGGAGTTTATTCATCTCTTTCTGTAGCTTCTCCTGATTGGGGTGTGACATCACAATTATTGTGTCGTCAGCATACCCCTGAATCATAGCATTCATTGGACAATCCTTTTGGAGTATTAGGAGCTCATTGTACAACACCGTCCAAAGTAGGGGGCCAGATTTAGAGCCCTGTGGGCAACCTCTGTTAATATCTTTGGTGTAGATCAGTTTGTTGTTATGGTAGAAGCTAGCCCTCCTGTCTTTCAGGTAGCTACTGGTGATTTTGTAGAGATTGTCTGGGCAATTTGCCCTTCCAAGCTGATGTAGGATCTCCGGCCACCAGGCATGGTCGAAGGCTCCTTTAAAATCCACAGAGACCAACAGTGTGTGATTACCTTCCTTCTTTGCCTTCGTAATGTAATCAATAAGGTTATCCAGCGCATTGACTGTGCTTTTGCCGCTTCTGAATCCATACTGTAACGGATGAAAATAGTTAATTGAGTTAAGATAATATGTGATCCTATTGGTTATGAGAGCGTCAAGAATTTTGCCAAAAAAGGAGAGCAGGGAAATAGGGCGGAAGTCGGACGGAGTTGTTGCATTGTTGTTTTTTGGGATAAGCCTCACCGACGCCTGTTTCCAGTAAGTCGGAAAGTGTCCCAGGTCTAAGCACTTATTAAAGATCACTAGAAATGTAGTAGGGATAGCCCTTACAGCTTCCCTCGCTGTCCGCCATGTGATGTAGTCTGGGCCGGGTGCCTTTTTACTTTTAATATTCGCAATCTCCTTCCTTAACTCGTTGGTGGTAAACGCTTTATCCTTGTGGCAACTGCAGTAATGGAGGGCTTTCTCTCGAATAGCCTTGTGATAATCGGTATCCTTGGAACAGTCGTCCTTAGGAAACAGAACATCAAAGATTCGGGAACACATGTTAGCCGGGGAAGAAGTGAAAGACCCTTTCCCGTCCTCGATTGTGGGAGGCATGCCGCTGGATTTCCCTTTCTTCCTTGCGATGTAATAAGGGATCGCCCAAGGGTTGTTACCACAAGTGTTCGTGCAATAATCCCTCCAGGAGCGTGTCCTGGAGGTGTTTATTAGTTTTTTATAGTCTCTATAGCAGTTCTTGTACATGTTCCTTTTTTGTTCTTTTAGGGTAGGGTCCCTTTCTTTTCTAAACTGCCTTTTCTTCCTTCTAACCTCTTTTCTCTTATTTTCCAGTTCGTTGTCCCACCAGGGGGCATTCATCCTCTTTACCCTAATACTGGTGGTGAGGAATACAGCTTGGTGAATAGTTTCCGTAAGCGTGACAACTGTGCTATCCAGTTCTTCTTTGGTGTTAATGTGAGTAAGAGGGGGCGGGTTCCAAAGGGTAGTAAGGCGATCATGGAAGAGATCCCAGTTCGTATTGTTCGTTATTCTGTAGCTCCTGGCCTCTTTACTATTCCTAATAGTTGTCTGTATATAGCTGTGATCGCTTGCAGATATCTGATCCACCGTACTACAGTCCCAGTCCAAATTGAGGAGGACATCATTTCCCAGACAAACGTCCACCCAGCTCTCCCCATTGGTGGAAGAGAAGGTGGGTAAGGGACTGTCATTCATGGAAGATAAATCGTAGGTAGCCATAAATTCCTGTAACAGAAAGCCTCTGGGGTCTTCGACAGGGCTATGCCAAAGGTGGGATTTTGCATTAAAATCCCCCAGAATTAAAACAGGATTCCCTTTTAGGCTGTTATAAGAAGCACCCAGAAGATCAAGCGGATAGGCCAACTCCTCGTCCGGAGAACAGTAGAAGGAGATGATGTAGAGACTACCCTTTGGGGTATCGATACTGACTGTCGTATAATAGTAAGTAGAGAGCTGTGTGACTAATTGTACCATGATGTTTGGGTTATAGATTGCAACCCCAGTTTTTGTCCTTTGGTCGTTACCTTTATGTGTAAAAACACGGCCATTGCCCAACATAGCCACCATATTATCAACGAGGTAGGGCTCTTGAAATACCAGAATGTCTGTCTTCCGTTCTGAAACCATCTGAAGGGCCTCAGAAGAGGCGGCCTTAGACCTCTGAAGGTTAATTTGGAGTATTTTTAAGCTATCCATTATGAAAGTTCGCCAGTAACCGGTCAACTAGGCAAGCCCTGGGAGTCCCAGACTGTAACCCTATTACTCATATTGTATCATTCTGATGTTGTTGGCCTTATAACGTTGTAGTATAGGACAGCACTTATCAAATGCGTTATGGTCCGTAGGCATTGATCTGTTTTCTGGCACCGTTTTGTTGTGTTTCCTACAGTTAAAACACACTGGGTCTTTTGCTAGATTTGGGCAGTCTTTAAATTTATGTTTTTTAGTGCAGTGGGTGCACCTCTGTTTCTCCGCGCACTTATAGGAGGTGTGCCCGAAGCCAGTACAGTTAAAACATCTAACTATATCTATGTAGTCGTCTACGGCCACAGATCTCCACCCTATATATAGTCTTCTTTGCTGCATTATTTTATTTCTAATGTCTGGTCTGACACTAATGATTACGTGTTTCAGATTATGGTTATTTTTTGAGTTAAAACAATGTGAGATTTTGGAGGTTTCCATGAATTGTTCTTCGCTTATAACTTCTTGTATGCACTCGTTCTGATTAAAAATGTCTGTGGTTAGCTCTTCCATATCCATATCAGTTGGTAAATTAAATAATATGATCTTCGGGGAGCGTTTTTTTTCTCTCTATTATTTTCACTTTATTTGTAAGGGCCTCTTCCGCTTGTACTGCTTCTTTGAATGTTTGTATATCTTTCTCACCGTGTACCTGTATGCGCAGATCTCCCTCGGGAAGGGGACGTATTGCTTTGATTTTGATCCCCAGTTTTTTGGGGTCCACGTGAGTTTGTAGTATATCCAGTGTTTCTTCCGGGATTAAAACGGGTTCATCTGGCTGTTTAATCGTAGCTACTATAAATTCGTGGTTATTCACTTTGGGATTTTTTACACCTCCCAGAGCTTCAGATTTTTCAGCTATAAGCCTTGTAGTGCGACTAGAGTAACCTTGGTTACTCTTGACAATGTCGGCGTAAGATGCCCTGTCCATTTGGGCTGATGAAGTGGATAAGGCCTTTACTCTCTCCCTCAGTTCAAGAACCATGCCAAAAATTTGATTTGCAGCCGCGTGCATCTTGACTGCTGCTTCTTTAACACTTGCGCGTTCTTTTGATTTAACAGATATATTTGAGTTCGAGGGAATATTATTAAATATTATTTCGAGTTGCAGATTAACCGTATTTAGTAAGTCCTCCTCAGCGAAGCTATTATTGGTATCGTTGCACTCCATATCAGTAGTCATAGTGTCCGAGTGACAAAAATTTGTCCAGAAGAGATCAGCTTATTTTTCTGAGTTGTTTGATATAATACACTTAAAGAAATCCCCAGCGAAACCCCCAAAACGGCCAGCGAAGCACCGAATTAGGGTCAGGTAGGGGATAGGACCGGACCACGTGGCGAGGTCAATGACCTTTTCACCCCTTTGTATGGTATAAAACTAAGAATCGTTATAATAACTAAACTATCACGAATAGCGGGAAGATTTTTACACAGTAGATAGAGGTCAAACCGAGGATAGAAATACCCAGCGGTGAACGTTACCGGCGGCCCGCAAAGCCCGCACGGCGGTCCGAAAAGTAAAACATTATGGTCGCGTTTAAATGAAAACGGATCGACACAGAATAAAAATGATAACACCGTTAAAAACAGCGTAAAAGCCGCTATCCGATGATATACAACTTTACCACTTACCGGCAAAAGCGGGCCGAGGAAAGCTGTACAAAACCCGAAAAGTTCAAAGTCCTGTAGATCCTAAACGGCTGGACGGATCTTGATAATCTTGACGCCAAACGATAGCTGAAGCTGTGACGAGTCGAATGGTATATAATAATCCAACGATTGAAGCACAGAAACTTCGATGCGTCGATCGAAAGACAGAGCCGATGTACACACTACCTACCACAGTCGCGACTCGACGCCCTCTCCTTTGCTATAGACATGTTACTAAAGTTTTAAGAGGGCTGTCTGAATGATTCAGACTTATGCCCTGTCAGAAACGGAAAGAAGAGACAGCTTGAGATTTGAAGTGTGAAAAAGTAGGTAAGTAAAGTGTGAAGAGAAGGCATGGGACCAGAGAGCGCTTGCATCGGCATTTATTGTAATAATAAAAACATACAATTACATAAAAATACATAAAATTAATACAGAGATAAAATGGCGATAAACAAATAGAATAGGGAGTACAAAATTTCATATTATATACAATATTTACAATACAAGCATATGGTCGCTTTGACCTAATATATGAAAACATTATAATTACTCCTAGGGAAGAATCACATATAATATTTCGCGACAATTAGTATTTGGTTGGAGTCCAGTTGGTGGAGGTGAGCTACAACGACTCCTCCTCGTCGGAGTTATCGTCCATGCTCTCTTCTTGTAGGTTAATCTCGTCTTCTGGTGTGTCATCTGTGTTGTATCGTTGATGTTCTGAGTTATTTACTACGAGGGCACCAGTGTTGTAGATGAATTCTTCGAAAGTTCTCCATAGAGTCTTATTCTCGAATATTTTGTGCTCAGTTGGGGGCCATCTTGGGTTGTTGGTGAGGTACTCGTGAATAAGTTTCGTACGGTGGTTATCGTGTTTGGTGCAAATAAAAGCAAAGTGCGCAGCATCGCCGATTTCGTCGTCGGAACAGTCACATTTATTATTTTCACTGAGTTTAAACCTATGAAGATAGGCCGGAAAATTTCCGTGTCCCAGTAGTACTTGCGTGGTAAGGCTGTTTGGGACGTAGTGTTTAGCTTTCTTTCTGGTTTGAATGGAAGGAATAAACAGGAAGCAGTTTCTCCCTGTTTCCGCCGTTTCCCATTCGTGTTGCCAGATCCTATCGATGATGGACATGATGTAGTTTTTGACGCACACCTGAGGGGTGTCCGTAAAAGAAGGAGAGATGTTGCTACTAGCTCCTAACTTGGCCAGTTTGTCGGCGATTTCATTACCTTTGACACCACTGTGACCGCGAATCCACCCGAAAGATAGCTTTCTTACTGTTCCGAGGGTGTTAGCGGCATCATATAGTCTTTTTGCTAAGGCGGTAGGGTGAGTCAATTCGTTTAGATTATGCAGGGCGGCTTTGCTGTCTGTCAGGATAGAGATGCTGCCCTTGAAGATGTCGATATTGTTTTGGATGTGCTGAATTGCCTTCAAGAGTGCGAACATCTCTGCCTGCGAATTCGTACACTGTGTGGCCATGTTGTAATAATGCTGATAAGTAGTCCTATCATTATTATTCTTAACGATGAGTCCCGCACCGGTGCCGTTGTCATTTTTACAGCCGTCTGTATAGATTTTCCATTTAGATCTTATTTCTTTATTGTTGTCGTTATCCCAGTGGATTGTGTAATTGATGTTGCCGGCCGGGTGTTCGCTGAATTCGTCTTTTTTTAGCTTCCTGTCAATACGGAAGTTGGGTCTTGTGATATCGATGATTTTACAGTTGTTTTTTAGTTCATGGTAGATCTCGTCGTTTCCGGGAATGTCGTATCCGCGATGTGCGCCTTCTGCTGTTAAGTACCAGTTCCATATGATGTATTTAGCTTTGAGATGGATCGGTAAGGTGTTGGCCATGATCTGGAGTGCATTTGTGGGGGCGGTGTTGTATGCCTTATTTATTTTAATCAAGAATTTCCTCTGGATCGATGTTAATTTCCTTCTCATATGCACGTTTTCCAGGGCTTCTTTCCATACCATGACCGCATACAACAGTGCTGGTTCGATGGCCGCCGAGTATATAAGCTTCGTGTTGGCATAATCAAGTCCCCACATTTTCACAGTGATCCATTTCATCAAGTTTGTCTTTTGCTCCATTTGTCTGCATATGTTTCGGACGTGGGTATGCCAATTGAGTTTATCATCGAACCATATACCTAGGTAATTTAATTCCTGTTCGATTTTGATTCTGTTACCGTTGATGAAAATTCTCGGCGGTCGTTGCAATCTGTTGCGCTTGTTCCTTCTCGTGCACACCATTCCTGTTGTTTTATTGTAGTTAATGGGTAGCTTATTTTCACTGCTCCATTCGTAGATCTGCTTTAAGTAAGTATNTAATGGGGCCAAAGTCACAAAATTTGTACACAGTACTCACATATTGGTCCTCTTTCGGAATCCGTCGCCAAATCCGGTTGATCGGTCGGCACAATCCGGAAAATCGATCTTAAAGTTTTCACTTCTTCGAAAGGTCGTAACTCCAAAAATAATGACCTCAGAGGTCCGAAAATAACACCAAACGATTCCTGCTGTTAATACGAATCCGACGATATATAGATTTCCACTGTCCACCCAAAATTTTTCGAGATATCACAAGTTTAACAGGAGCCTGATCTTCCCACAGCCTTTCACTTTAACGACTAGACGCCCTCTCCCTTGCTATAGACACGTAGTGAAAGACCCAAGGCTTGACTCAGAGGTATAGCCTGGTAGACTAGAAACGGAGAAGATGAATAGGTGGGTGTAAGAGGAGTGAGATGAAGGGGAAGGAAAGTGGGATAGGAGAGACGGAAGTGGAGCAACCTAGGCCCATGGGACCCATGGGCGTCTTGCATCGCCTTTATTTATAAAGAAAACTAATACAAGATACATAAACTACTACACTGAGAAATACAAAATTATACTATATACATGGTGAAGAGGCACGACATGTGAATGCTTGGTTAGATACAATAAAAATTGAAAACTAATATTTGATACGTAGGCAAAAACATAACGGAATACAAAGTAAGCAATTTACATAGTGGAAAATGTAGGGACGCGACAAATATATGTATGAGTAAGTACCGAAGAATTGATATACTAGAATAAAACAAGAAAATAATACGGCACATAATTCCCAACACAGTTAAGGGGAATGGAGCAGCGCGACATTGGTACACCGAAATTCTACTTAATACTAATACATTACAGACGGAGAGACGAACGGTTGACATCATGAATACCAGAGAGACACACAGATGGGCAGGTGGCTAGGAGACAACATAGAACCCGCAAAAGGCTGAACACCTAGTCCAAAAGCTTGATGTCCTTAGCAAAGGTTTTAAAGGCCTTAAAAATGTTTTTGTCCCTTGTAAAGTCACTAAGGGCGCAAGGCCAGTTAATACCACTGTTGATGACTGTATCAATTAGTTTTTTCCTTTGATTAGTGTAGAGAGGGCAGTGATAAATGATATGTTGAGAGTCCTCCTCTTCATTAAGGCCGCATCCACAAAGGCCGTCGGTCTTGCCAAGAAACCTTCTAAGGTAGGTTTTCAAGTTGCCATGTCCAGTTACAAGCTGGGTAAGCTGGTAGGTGGTACTGTGGTGGGGCTTCATACACTTGTCAGGAATACTTGGGAAGAAGCCGTATGTGAGCCGGCCAGTATCACTCTTATTCCATCGTAGTTGCCAGGAACTCCTTATTATATTGTGCAGCTTGTTCTGGATATAGGTAGTACTGATGCGCCTGTAACAGATGGTGGAGTTAGTCCCAGGGGCCGAGCGAGCGAGAAGGTCTGCCCGCTCGTTACCTGGGATCCCCGAGTGTCCTTTCACCCAGTGTAGCGAGACCGTGACATTGTTGTAATTGAGGGTGAGGATAGCATCGATGCAGTTGTTGACAATAGGGAGTGAGTTGTTGAATTTCATAATCTGTTGGAGTGCAACCCTGCTGTCGCTATGTATACAGTAGTTATTAGTCTGCATATGGTGCTTGTTTTCAAGAATCCATAAGAGAGCCTGGTGAATTGCCATGGACTCTGCTTGATTATTTGTACACAAACCATGTAGAATTCTCCTTGACTGGTATAAGCACTGATGGTTGTAGTATGCGACAAAGGCACAGCCCACCTCACCGTTGACCTTAGAGCCGTCCGTGAAAATATTGATAGCCTGATTGGAATCAATATTGGCGTCAAAGTCGACTTGGATGTAGGTACTTGGATGGATGGGACGATGGTTGTAGTCCTTGTCTATCCCGTTATTACTGATCAGTTCCGCAATATCCCTGATATCCTTTGCATTGCTGTCTTGCGATATGCAATTAGTGAACTGAGTCTTTGAGATTTCGTTGCGGGCCAGTTTGTATAAATTGTACTTGATGAATTTCTCTCTGACTTTTAAGTCGATGGGCAGAAGGTTGGAGAGGACCAATAGGGCTTCTGTAGGCGCAGTCTTATAGGCTTTTGCCGTGGAAATAGCCGACAGTCTCTGTATGGACAAGAGCTTTCTTTTAACGTGAACTCTTGTAGCTGAAGTACCCCAGATTTCTGCACCATAGAGGATGATCGGTTCAATTGCTGAGTTGTAAAGAATCCTACTAGTGAGGGGACCATAACCCCACTTATTCCTACATATAGACTTAAGGGCATGCGTGGTCTTCGTAGCCTTCTTATAGATGTAATGGGCGTGCTCTGTCCAATTAAGCCTATAGTCTAGTAAGACGCCAAGGTACAGTACAGTTGTAGTGTTTTTAATTTTGGTGTTGTTAATCTTGATGCTCGGGCCTTTTTTGAGCGGGTTACCCTTAGAGAATAGAATTACATTACACTTGGTGTAGTTAATGCTTAATTTCATGTTGATACTCCAGTTGTAAATGTCCGTGAGGACATTGTTTATCCTTTCCTGTAGGACCTCATGGTTACAGTGACTCATGATCAAAGCGGTATCATCTGCATACCCTTGGATAAGAGGCCTATAAATCATGTTTTGTGAAGATGGAAGGTCGAGCAGACTATTGTAAAGGACGTTCCACAGGTAGGGGCTGATTTCGACCCCTGTGGGCAGCCCCTGTTGATGTTCTTCTTTAGATGCATGTTGTTACCAGTGGCTACTACTATACTACGGCTCTCAAGATAACTATTGACCAGATAATATATATTCTTGGGACAGTTGTTGATCCTGAGATTGTAAAGGATGGCGGGCCACCACGCGTGATCAAAAGCGCCCTTGTAGTCTATGGTAACCATTATACTATGCTTCCCATTCTCTCTGGCCTGCAGAATGTGAGTATTGATGTTATCGATGGCCTGGATTGTGTTTTTTCCCTTTCTAAATCCGTATTGTCTTTCGCTCATTAAGTTCTTATTTTCATAGTGGTATACAATTCTGTTTATCATGAGGGAGTCCAGAATCTTGCCAATGGTCGGCAGGAGAGAAATGGGCCTGAAGTCCGAGGCAGTGGTGGGAATCTTGTCTTTCTTTTTTGGGATAAATTTGATAGTAGCCTGTTTCCAGGCAGCAGGAAAGTAGCCGAGCTCAAGGCACTTATTAAAGATAATAGTGAAGGAGGTGGGAATGGCACTGAAGGCTAGCTTCGCCATCTTAGGGGTAATATTATCAGGGCCCGGTGCTTTCTTTAGTTTCAGCCTTTGGAATTCCTTAGCAATCTCTCTTGAAGTGAAGAGGCAGTCATTAATGTTGTTGTACGGTTGCTGGAGGTTTTTCCGTATGTTGGTGTGATGCAAGTTGTCCGTAGAGGTAGAGTCCTCCGGAAATAATTCCTTTATGAGGTGACGGTAAGTATCGGTGATTGAAGTGGTAAAGGCATTGTCGTTGATCTGTATCGAGGGAGGGATCTCTGCCTTTCTCTGCTTACTAGCCGCAATGTAGTAGGGCACCGACCATGGTTTATCGTTGCCGACATTGGTGCAAAAGTCACGCCATGCTTGCGTCCTTGCTTTATTAATGGAAGTTTTGTAAGTTCTAAAGAGGGCCATATAATTGTCTCTTAGGTCCTGCCTGCGATTGGGATCGGCTTCTCGTCTCATTAGCCGCTTAGCCTTTCTGAGAGCTGACCTTTGGTTAGCAAGGTCGGGGTTCCACCAGGGGGCATGTCGTTTGATTATTTTAACAGTGGTTGCTTGAAGATATGAGTTGTGGATGATCTCATTTAAATTGTCAATTAACGTATCAAGATCTGTGGGATCAGTAATATTAATGATGGAATCAGGATTCCATTGCGACTGGATGAGGTGGTAGAACAAGTCCCAATTAGTTCGTTGAGAGATGCGGAACTTCGGCAGAGGTGTGGATGTGTTGAGGATAATTTCAATATAGTTATGGTCACTCGCCGAGTGTAAGTCAACGGTATAGCATTGTAGATTAGCCATGTCTATCTTCATGGAACCCAGGCATATGTCAATCCAGCTGTCTCCGTTGGTGGAGGAGAAAGTTGGAAGGGGGCTGGTATTAAGGGAAGACAGCTGGTGTTGGTTCATGAACTCCTCGACGAGGTATCCCCTGGGGTCCTCGACCGGGCTGTGCCATGAATGAGCCTTAGCATTGAAATCACCCGAGATTAGGGTGGGATAATCCTGCAACTGTTGAATTGAGTCAGCAAGAAGCTCAAGGGATTCATTGAGGTCCTCCGAAGGTGGGCAATAAAAGGAGATCAGTATGTAGTAGGTGCTGTTAAGATTTAGACTAACAGTGGTGAAGCTGTAGGTACAGTGTTGCGGCAAAAGTTGAACGTCTATGTTATCATTGATGATAACAAATCCAGATTTAGGAGGAAGAGAAGAACTATTGTGTGTAATGATACGATGGCTGCCAAACATGGCAATCTTGTTATTAAATGTGTAGGGTTCCTGAATAAAGATTATATCAGTGTCCCTGTGCATAGCCTGCTGAAGGGCATCTGATGCAGCCGCCTTGCATCTCTGTAGGTTGATTTGTAACATCTTTAAATTATGCTTGTTCTGTCTATAACCCATAATTAGTTTGCTTGACGGTGAGTGCTTTCATCTTGATAGTTATCGGACAATTTGGATTAAAGGAGTTGTGGTCTGTTGAGTATTTACTGTGATCAGGGAGTTCCTTATTAGCTATTTTACAGTTTGTGCAGGAGGGAGTATAGTCAAGTCGGCGGCAGTCGCTGAATCTATGCCCCTTACCGCAGTGGCTGCATTTTTGTTTATTGGGACAGTTGGCAGCTAGGTGATTATAGCCGCAACACTGATAGCACCTGATGAGAGGGATGTAATCATTCACATAAATTCTGGTCCAC